CCTCCGCGTGCCCAAGAACGGCTTCCAACGTGCCCAAAAACTTGCCATCTGGTGTCCCGGTAAGAGTGTTTATTTTTTTGTTGTCTGGTCTTTTTTGTTGTTTGGGCTTTTCGGGTTTTTTTTTTTGCTGTTTGGTCGGGGGCGCGTTCTTTTTTTTGCTGTTTGGGCGGGGGCCCATCTCTGTCTGGCCAGCTTCATGGGCTTTCCACCATTCTAAACAACACATCCAGCTACTTTCTATCACCTGATGAAGTGGTTTCCACGATCCCACACTCGCAATATCTCGCAATTGCCACCAATTCCTCACGCGTAGACTTGGCACAGATATGCGCTACAAGAAAACAACCACTAGATGCGGCGGGCATTTACAAACCAGAGGGGTGGTGAGTTATGTGAGTTGGAATTCTCTTGGCCGCTCTGTGCACCCTGGCGCCTGTTTTTGATTTCAACAAAACCGCCAGCATGCCAATTTTCCCATAAGTTGCTGCGGTGCCTAGTCATGCAGCTTCCATGCAAGTCATTTCTTTGCCTAGACCCAAGCCCCTGCTCAATGGGCGTGCCAAGAGTTTGATGTGAAGGGACGTAACACCTCGTTTACCTCGCGGCAGTCAACCAACCTTCTCAACATTTCTCAGATCGAGCCTCTCGCATCGCAAACCACAGACAAGCAACCTCGAGAGGTCACAGCCAAGCAGCCAAGCACATTCAAGCTCTGTCCTTCCGATCCTGTGGTTGCCACAATTCACAAACTCAACAATTAAGCCATACATCAACTGGCTCTTAGGTATGGCATGTCTGTCTGAACGTTCACATGTGGCCCCTGATACTGCTAATCTGGCATGCCAAGCTGCATTGATGGCAATGATGGGAATTCCAACTTCGTGCTCCAGTCGTTCAGCCAGGTTAACAAAAGACAAGTTCGTGCCACACTGCACCACAGCGTCCTTAGGGCTAAGAACTGACTTTGTGACTTGGTGGCCACTCGACCCAAAAGCCCAAATTCTGAGCGAACACTCGAAAGTTGACTTTCGAGGCTCTACGCCAGGCAGGAGAAGATTTTCTCGAACAACCTTCTCACACCAAGCCTCAGGCCTCAGCAGTCTGAAACTACATGACGGATATTGTATGTTGCAAAAGGTAAGTTGCATAATCTTCTCAGCATCCGGGTAAGTCGCACACACATGTGCAATGTCGGTTGCCTGAATTGAAGTCCAAGGTGGCCACTGTTGAGTCCAGATGACTAGCGAACTTGAACCCTCCACCAAGGTCGTACCTAATACCATTACAACCCACCTTCGCCCCTGCGAACACATGTTCCGGCTGCCGGCGTTGAACGTCATGGATCACGTAAACGTCTTTTTCTAAGTGCCACGGGAGCGTGCTCGTGTGTGGCCTGTGGCTTGGATTCGGTGTTTACATTACATCCGGGGCTGAAGACGTGGTGGATTTCAGAGGAATCTGGGCTAAGAGCACTTGTCGCAGAAGTTTTTGATGTGTAGCAAACATGCTGGCTACCTCAGAAAGCCTGCGCGTCTCCGTGCTATGTTGTTGTTGATGCAGGGGTAATATGAGGCCCTTGTGCTCACGATTCTTCTCAAGCACCCAGAAGAATACGCATTACAACGTCTAAGTCCATGCACAAATGAGAGTATGAAAACTGATTGGACGGGATATGCAGCCATTCCATAGAATCTGAAGTCTCTCACATACTAGTACCTGATTGAGGAGTCCTTTTTTAAGGGGAAGGCGAGCCTGAATTTTGCTCATGCATCCCATAATATGGGCCTGCTGCTCCAACTGCGGCTGAATGACCTTGTGGTCGTGGCCAAGAACAAAATGTCGTGTGCTGGTTTGTCCCCGGGACTGTGTGTTAGTGGCCACACCCCGTCGTCCAACGGAGGTAGTCCATCCCCCCTACTTCCCTCTTTCTCTCTTTCGTTCAGGCTATGGAGGTGGGCTCGCTCTCTCTCTCTCTCTCTCGTCTTCTTCTTCTATGTTCTATGCGCGCTCCCCCATTGGCCTCTGTCCAATGGAGAAAAATGCAAATGCTACCCACCCTGAAGGACCGATCATGCTTTGCCCCCGCCATCTTCTTCTTCTCCCCTCGTCCTTCCTGGTTGGGCCGTTTTCATTAAGAACCAGAGTTTCCCTCCTTTACGCGGGTAATTGTTTTTGGCCGAGGAAGAGTTGATCCCACACTACTTACTTACATCTACTTACTGCTCCCATTTCAAGATAAAATCGCTCGAGGAGATGGCAGACTCGCAGCAACGAATGCCGCTACGGTGCTGAACCACATTTCAGCCCCGCTATGCGAACCACTTCAAAGCCAATCTCCGAAAAGAACTTCACCACATTCCGATCACCTTCGCGGAGTTCAAGCTGTGGCACAGCACGCGGGATGAGCTTACTTCAGGCGCAGGGACGTGCCTATCTCCTGGTAGGGTGTGAGGACCTCGTACCAAGCGAATGCAACGAATGGTTCAAGCAGGTAGTAACAGCAGAATTGAGCGCCCTGCTGTAATGCGCTTGGCTCCAAATTTTTCCAATGACGCCTCAAAACCCATACGCCCATACACTTCGCAATCCGCGTAGATGCGTGAAGCGGGTTCAGATGGTCCACATCATTCCACTGCCCATGTGCAGAACATGCAACTCGATCTACACGGTCTTGCCAACGGAATCGTGAACTGGTGACCGGTGAGAAAAACAAACAGCCAAAGTTTGGTGGCCTTGCAAGCCTCGGCGCCCGTGGCTATGTTGAGGCCCGTTCGATCTCCCAGTTCCTTCTTGAATTCCTGCCGCCGCGCATGCAAGCGTGTTTGATCTTTTTAGTTACCATCTGCTTTCAAGAAGATGCCCATCAGCTCGACTAAAGCGTGTCTTACCACTAAAATCTTTTGTACATTACAGGGCAGTACTCTTCAATGTTGAAGCTGTGCCCGAAGCGGGCTTTCTGGGATGGCCGCTGTTAAGAGTCACTTGTGATACAGCCCTGGGCCACTAAAGCTGCGCGAGTTGAAAGTGCTTGGGCTTGCGGCTTCAAAAACATGGTCGAAATCTTCATACCTGCTTGGCAGTTGCTAGATTTGCCAGTTGATGCGAATCAGGAAATAGCTCTGGTCTGCATTCAGGAGAGTGCACCTTCCTCCAGATCATCTGGTCATGCTAGGAATGCCCAGACCATAAGGCCCAAGTAAAAGCGTTGCATCTGCACCCGCGTGTTGCATCGGCCACACCAAGAACTCAACAGGTCCTTGTTTCCTTCCCATCCTCCAAAAAATGTCTCCAAAGACATGCCTGAGTTTGCACAGTTGTCTAAATCGGGAGTTATGATTGCACCTGGTTGCTTGCCCTCTACCGCTACAGGCAATCCCTCGCCGAACTGCAGGCATGCTCCGCACTCTAGACATAGATCTATGATATATGTGTAGAAATATAAAAACGTCAGGATATCACTCCACCTTGGGCTGCACAGCAAGGAAAGCATAACATTTCCTGGCCGAAATCATCTCAGCAGAGGGCTACTTCTGTGAACATCACAGCCAACCATTCGACAAGTTAGAGGATACCGCATTCATTGCAGCTGCATTCCATCTCTAATCTGAAAATAATGGCTAGACCTGCTGTCATGATGCTGCTCGCTCTAGGAAAAGTCTGCTTGCATTGAAATCATAAACACGAAGCCACAGTTGCCCATGATGATGTACTGCGGCTCCGATGTCATCAGCCGATCAGCTGTTGTAAAGATCTGCTTGCGGAACCTCTTCTTCGAAAAGAAGTTGTTGCACTGATCAATACGAAGGTCCAGAGTTGGTCTTTAACGCAGCCCTGGCAACAATTGCAAGAAGTGCAGCATGTCCTCATCACTTGCCAGCCTCGGGCTGTCAATGAGGATTCCAGACATATGGAATCCAATGCCCTGCAAGCAGTGCGCTAAGCAACATCCAGTACTGACATCCTGGCTATTGGCGGCTATTCGCTGAACTGCACAGCTCATGCCTTGCAGGCGTCGTAATTGCGCATGACCATGCTCCAGAAATCATACTCCACCGTGGTGTTCGTTGACGGAATGATAACCTACAGCCCATAGGGCTGGCAAATGCTGGCAGGTGCGAAACGCGGCGAAACACACTACTCCTTGCCTGTGATTTATACATGTCCTCTTGCGCATCTAGCATCAGGAAGCATTGGGGAAACGGTCTTCATTCATCCTTGCCGAAGAGATAATCAGCTGATTCCAAGCACTTGGCAGTGCTCGCTTTTGTTTGCCTACGTCCTTCAACACGCGTCGCCTCCAATGTACGCTTGTATAATCACTTGGCACTCGAGCAGCCGCAATGCTGAGAGTTCAGGGTTGCTGAATCGCAAACGGCATCAGCGACAGCAGAAGTGAAAAGTGAAAAAAGGAGGTGTGGGAGACACAAGAATGGGCCCAAGCTCACTCAAATTGGCAAGTTCCGAGAAACAGCTGCTGCTTTGGTCCGTATGCTTGAGTGGCATGTCTGGCATTGCACACTTCTAAACACGGTTGCGTTCAAGGCACACCAAATTTCATGACAAACTCGTTCGCATCCGGGAAACCATCGCCGATTTCAAAATTGTCAACTGACTCAGGTAGGACGTCACCATCCTGGCAGTACTGCAATTCTCTGGACTCTTGTCCTTCGCAAAAGCGCTGCATGTCATGCGAACAGCAAACCCTTCTGTCAGTGTCCTTCCACTTGGTAGGATAAACGCCCTTAGGGTAGCCAGAGTTCACATCCGGGATGCGTATGACTTCTCCAGTGAGAGGACCGCGAGCCTGTCTCCAAGCGTTCCTCGGTATTGGGCCAAGTTCATGACACAAAGAAGGGCTGCTCGAAGCTCGAAGCGGCTGCACACTCCATGTCACTCCCTGACAGCAACAAACCTGCTGGTGGCCAAGAAGCTTGGCAATAACCCCATTCGTGTACTGCTTGTTATGACTCGTGAAGTCTGCGCAGATAGCTTTGCTGTCTTTTGTTTCCGGGCTGAAGTCTCGTTGCCCTTGCTCGAAATCTGTAACGCCATCCACTGCCTCTGGCCGCGGGCGCTTACATGGCGGCTCTGCCATTCCCACAGCTGAGCTGGAACAATATGCGGAGTTTTCGTACTGCGCAACATTACTTTCTTTCCGTGCCGCAATTGCTGCTCTGGACTTGATGATATGCCTACTTCCTCGATCTGAAAATATTTGCAGAGAAGACAAGCGCTTGCTGTCATGCTCAGATATGCCCAGCATAATTTTGCAACAACAGTCAGCAAATCGAACATTACAAATGTATTTTTTCCTTCTCTCTCTCTTCTTCTATGCAGTATGCAGAACCCTGAGGCCCTGCTGGGGCTAGGCCCCGACCTCGCACACACGGTCCATTGTCCACGAAACCTAGGAGGCCCGGAGTATTGTGCATTCCCACGGAACATCAAAAGCCTTCCCTACACACTAAACAATACCATCTGCTATCCGATACCTGCATGTTCCATGTACGAATGGACTTCCTCCCTTCTCCACCGGGCGGTGAAAATGTCCCCTTTTCCCCGGCGCTTGCTCATGTGGCAAGTACTGTACTCCCAGGGTCCAGGCACTGGTACAGGAGTTTTCCAAACACATATCATTTAAAATCTCATTTCCCGTACCCAGTGTTTCTTACCCTGCTCTGCCTTCATGGTCGAACCTCTCTACCTGACTCACCGCGTTGCTTGCTGTGACTCGAGCTTGGCATCAAAGAGAGCAGTAACACCACCCATTGATGATCCTGTTCCAATGTTCTCAGGCAGGGTTTTTGAGTGCACTTCGAGTTGGTGTTTGCCATGTAGAAACCTGCGTGGTTTCTTGTGGTATTGGTAGTGACTGTGAGGGTGGCTGTGGCTGTGGCTGAGGTTGTGATGGATGTAGCTGTGGAGCAATTAGCTGGTGTGCAGTTTGTGTTGCCTGCGGCTGCTGCTTTGCTGCGGTAGCTTGCACTGTTGCTGTGGGAGTTGTGCTTGGCATTGGATGCTGTTCTTGCTCTTGACTCCTGACTGTCAATTGTTGACATCCTTGTGATGAGTTGCCCTTTGTGTCACCGGAGTGTGAGCAAGGATGCGGCTGACTATGGTTTGTACTTGTGTTGTCAAAGCTTCTGCAACCGCCGCAACCAGTCTTAGTTCGTCCACTGGCGGGGCATGGGGGGGCATGGTGGAGGAGCTTGTTGCCCAATTATCATGTGCTGCCACGTGCTGGTGCAAGATGTCCCGTAGTAATGGCAGGCCACTCTGCAAGGCTGTGACCGGTTGTTGCTCCTTCAGGTGTTGGCTTATGTGTGGGTAAGTGTGCTGCAGGCTGCCTTGCGGGGACGCTGCTGCGTGCAGGTTTGGGTTGGCCTGGGTTTGGCCCTCTGTTGTTGTTGCTTCGGTTGTGGATGATGTGACTGTGTTTGCTGTGTGATGCGGTGCTGCTACAACTTGTTGTGTTGTGTGGTTGCGGTGTTGCTGTGGCAGTGGGCTTGGTTGCGCTTGGCATCCGTTGTTGTGGTGTGGTGGCTCTCGTTGTTGTGTGGACTGTTCGCTGCTCGTGGGTCTGGCATTGGATATATAGCGCTGCATGTAAGATGTCTCGTCCTCGGTGGCTTCTGGTGGTTGGCTTCCTCCTTCTGTACCCCTGGGGGTGGTGCATTGTTCTGCTTGTGGTTGTGGTTGTTGCTGTGGCTTTGGTGGTTGTGGCTGTGGCTTTGGTGGTAATGGTGGTGGTGGTGGTGGTGGTGGTGGTGGTGGTGGTGGCGGTGGTGGTGGTGGTGGCGGGGG